AAATTCTGTAAAGTTTTGTCATATCTCCAAGCTACATGGCAGTCGAGAGGCTACAGGTGATAAATTATATACTTACAGATAATAGTGTAAATATATCCATAAACAACTTTTTCATCTCTGGGGACACAGAACAATGATTACATTTAAACACAGTGCATAGTAAAATAAGTTAAAAATATTGAAAGTACTCTAAATAAAAGCTTACTAATTCAAGATAACTGCAGGCAAGAGCAATCTAGAAATTTTAAATTAAAAATTTCTTAAAACAAAATTTTCCAATTTACTAATTTATAAAAGAAATACAACTACATGGGCCTTAATAAAAATTTTAAATACACTCTCACACACACACTATATTCTAGAGAAGAACTACTCCATCAAAATCCTAGCTTTGAATAACTTATTATTTTAAATAATTAGTAACTAAAACCAAGCAATCTGTCACACAGAGAGGGGAAAAGGTAATATTCTGAGTTACAAATTTTTTACCCTGTCTGATAAAACTAGAAGCATAAAAGTTTAACTTAAATTTTTCCTGGATTTAAATTTATAGATAAATTTGCTTTTCAGTGAAATATCCTCAATACCAATTTTACCAGGAGGCCTTCTTCTGAAGGCCACGTCTGAAATAATTAGAGAATAAATGTCAATGGCATGATATTAAGATTTTATTCGGCTGGACGCAGTGGTTCATGTCTGTAATCCCAGCACTTTGGGAGCTGAGGCGGGCAGATCACGAGGTCAGGAGTTTGAGACCAGCCTGGCTAACATGGTAAAACTCCGTCTCTACTAAAGATACAAAAAATTAGCTGGGTGTGGTGCTGTGCACCTGTAATCCCAGCTACTCGGGAGGCTGAGGCAAGAGGATCACTTGAACCCAAGAGGCAGAGGTTGCAGTGAGCCAAGATTGTGCCATTGCACTCCAGCCTGGGCGACAGGGTGAGACTCCATGGAGAAAGAAAGAAAAGAAAGAAAAGAAAGGAAAGAAAAGAAAAAAGAAAAGAAAGAAAAGAAAGGAAAGAAAAGAAAAAAGAAAAGAAAGAAAAGAAAGAGAGAGAAAGAAAGAAAACAAAAGACAAGGCAAGACAAGACAGATTATTCAAGAAAAGCATTTCGGGGCCAGGTGCAGTGGCTCATGTCTGTAATGCCAGCACTTTGGGAGGCCAAGGCAGTAGGATCACTTGAGGCCAGGAGTTCAGAGGCCAGTTTGGGCAGTGTAGCAAGACCTCGTCTCTACAAAAAAAAGTTTAACGAATTAGCTCAGTGTGGTGGCACATGCCTGTAGTCCCAGCTACTCAGGAGGCAGAGGCAGAAGGATGGCTTGAGCCCTGGAATTCAAGGCTGCAGTGAACTATGATGGTGCCATTGCACTCAAGCCCGGGTGACAGAGCAAGACTCTGCGCCCCCAGCCCCCAAAAAAAGAAAAACAAGAAAGGAATTTAGGTAGGAAACTTTTCTATTGCTCTTAAAAGTAATAGAACCTAGAAAGGTAGAGGATGAGGCCAGGCACAACGGCTCACACCTGTAACCCCAGCACTTTGGGAGGCCGAGGCAGGCGGATCGCTTGAGCCCAGGAGTTCAAGACCAGCCTTTGCAACACGGCAAAACCCTGTCTCTGAAAAAAAAAAAAAAAAAGCAAAAATTAGTCAGATGTGGTGGCACGTACTTGTAGCCCCAGTTACTTGGGAGGCTGGAGTGGGTGGATCACTTGAGCCCAGGAGGAGGAGGGTGCAATGGCCCAAGACCGCACTATTGTACTCCAGCCTGGGCAACAGAGTGAGACCTTGTCTCAAAAAAAAAGAAAATGTAGAGGACGGTATGACTCGTGTTTTTTCAGGGTTTTCACATATGTATCAAGGCAGTAGATAACCTGACTCTAGAATTTGCTAGGAGTGTAGATATGCTGTCTTGCTGACTGAATAGCCCTATTACTCACATGCCAAAACTGAAACTGGGATAAGCACATCTGAGAATAAGCCCTGTCACCCAGACCTTTCCTTTCCTAATTTGTAGCTTCCGTTTGTGTAATCAGGCCTAAAATCCTTTTATTGAACAGATATACAGCAGAAAAGCAAACATTTAAAGCAGGACAGAGTAAGAATTTAACATATAATACGTAAGAGCAGAGTTTCTTAACTCAGCACTACTGACATTTTGAACCAGATACTTCTGTGTTGGGCAGGACTGTCCTGGGCATTAGAGGGTATTTAGTAGCACCCCTGGTTTATATTCATTACATGTCAGTAGCTCATCCCCTATCCAACATTCATGATAACCAAAAATCTCTTCAAACATTGCCTAAAGTTTCCTGGGAAACAAAATATTTCCAGTTAAGAACCACTGCTTTAGAGAATTGTGATAAAATTCTATCATAACATAAAGATAAAATAATAGTACAAGTAGGGTTATGTAGTCTACAATTTTCTGGGATCACTCACAACCTCTTAGTATTTTTCCGATTTTAAAATTCTTGCTCTCAGGCCGGGCGCGGTGGCTCAAGCCTGTAATCCCAGCACTTTGGGAGGCCGAGACGGGTGGATCACGAGGTCAGGAGATCGAGACCATCCTGGCTAACACGGTGAAACCCCGTCTCCACTAAAAAATACAAAAAACTAGCCGGGCGAAGTGGCGGGCGCCTGTAGTCCCAGCTACTCGGGAGGCTGAGGCAGGAGAATGGCGTGAACCCGGGAGGCGGAGCTTGCAGTGAGCTGAGATCCGGCCACGGCACTCCAGCCTGGGCGACAGAGCGAGACTCCGTCTCAAAAAAAAAAAAAAAAAAAAAAAAAAAAAAAAAAAAAAAAATTCTTGCTCTCACAATTTCTATATATGTATAGATATCCACACTGCTGTGATAATTTTCATATATTCCCCTAAAAAATACATTAAAAACTCACAATACTCTCAAAACTCTGTGTTTCTTCTGTACCCTCTCATAATTTATCGAAATATACACTTCATTCCTCTATAAAAACCTTATTGTTAAGATTTCCCATCTCAGCATTCTGGTTAACTTAAAATGAACAGACTTCTGACCAAGAAAGCAAATTAAACTTTCATTTCTCCATTAGAAAAAAACAAAGCCAGACTAAGTAGACAGAGCATGTTAAGTGTCTCCATATAGTTTTTTTTACTTCTAATGGTAAGTTTATCTGTGGTTTAAATGCTAAAAGACTGATTTAACCAATTTTAAGTGATCTCATATCTGCAAACAATATGAAATGTAATTAAGATAAGAAAAATAGGTATTGGGTTTCTGTAATTAAGTTGAGATTAACATTAACAAAATTCAGCTTTGCTATTTAAGACAGAAATGGATACGTTTATAAAATTATAATTTAATACTTACTATCTAATTTTTGTCCTTCTATAAAAGTTTCTAGAGCAGCAGCATAGTTTTTTAAATGGTATTCACATATCCTGCATGAACATATTTAAAACAAATTAACACACACACAAGATCTGGAAAATAGCCTTCTTTCTAAATAAAAACATCTTAGTATTTTCTATTGTTGAAAGAAAAAATTTATTTTAAGTATATGTTAGTATGCCAAGACACTTTCTAAAATACTATTAACATCTAGTACCATTTCCAGTAAAATTCAATTTTAGAACTTACTTCAGAAGGAATTTCACTTTAATTGTACATACTTGCTTGTTCCAAAATATCATTATACAAAGGAATTAAAGCAGTTTCTTACTTAAAGAATAAAGTTACACTTATCAACAGAAACAAGATGGAATATAAAGCTAATAGATATAGAGCTTTCATAGCGTTAAATGTAGCCTATTCAGCTTGATTGAAGAATAGGATGTTCTCTAATCAGTTAAATAGAGTAAATTCCAAATGATAAACAAAAAAGGAATGTGAAATCCATCAGTTTCATCTATACCTTGCAGTTATTTCAATCATCACTATATTAAAATGTATTAAGTATAGATCTCCTATCACATACTAGGTTAACAAAATAATAGAACTATAACTTTATATTTAAAGTTGAATCATACCTGCTATAAATACATACATACAGCATCAAGCTTACGTTGCCCTCTCTTATCCTCTATCAATAGCACACAACTCTAATAAAATGCAATTAAACATTCTGTTCAAAGCCAGATACAATCTAATAGATGGCTATAGCAACTGATCAAGAGTTAACATTAGAGAGATTAAAACTTCTTCACCCTGTGCAGTCACAACATGTAGGTGTGGTAGCTGGAAAAATAATTATGTAAGAGATTACACAACTAGGGAGATCAAGGACAAGCGCAGGAACACAGGAGCACTTTTATTTTCTGCCAACTGCCCACAAACTCTAGGGATTTTTCCAGTTTTCTTAAATCGGAAAATTGTTTCAATAGCCACATGTGTCACTGACTTTGCTTTAACCTAGTAGCATAATTCTCACAAAGCAATGAATACAGATGCCCCTCAACTCACCTGGGGTTACATTCGATCAACAGAAAGAAAGTGTGGCTCCAACTAAGAGAGCAAAGAAGCTATAAGATGCTGCTTCAAGGGCCTCACTTTGTACCTTGCAGGCTGTTATAAGAAATTTGGACCTTAGGTGCGATGGAAAGCCATGGAAAGTTCGTTGTTAGTAGGAGAGAGACATGGTCCAATTTACTCTTTTTAAATGTCATTCTGGTTGCTGTATGGTGAACACATAATAACAAATCAGGACTGGAAACAGAAACTTCTTAGGAAACTTCTACCTTAAGTCTAGGCTAGAAAAGGATGTTAGCCACAGAGGTGATGAAGAGAAATATAATTAATGAGCTGGAATATATTAGAACCAGCAAGACTTGCCAATGCAGGATAAGATGAACTGAAGATCAATCCAGGGTTTTGGGCTTACTTAGATCTATACCTGGCACCCAGTAAGCACTCAGCGAAAATTATTGATTTCTCTCCTTGCAGACATTTTTCTGCCTTTTCCCCAATCTCTAATTTGACCACATCTCCTTTGCCACAAAATATAAAAATGTTTGCCTCTCTAGTCTCAATCTTCTCAAAGCCACTAGTAACCCCTTATCAAATCCAGCAAGCTGAAAGGTAAGTTCTTTCAGCTTACCATTCTGTTTGCTTCTTAAAAACTAATGTTTTCTGGGTTGGGCACGGTGGTTCACACCTGTAATCCCAGCACTTTAGGAGGCCGAGATGGGTGGATCATCTGAGGTCAGAAGTTCAAGACCAGCCTGGCCAACATGGCAAAACCCCATCTCTACTAAAAACACAAAATTAGCCAGGCATGGTGTGCATGCCTGTAATCCCAGCTACTCAGGAGGCTGAGGCAGGAGAATCGCTTGAACCCAGGAGGCAGAGGTTGCAGTGAGCCGAGACTGTGCCATTGCATTTCAGCCTGAGTGACAAGAGCAAAACTCTGTCTCAAAAAATAAAAAAATAAAAAATAAATTAAAATTAAAAATCTAATGTTTTCCTTGGGCTCAGTACTTAGACTTCCTCCCCTTTAGAAACATTCTTTGACTCTTTAAGTGGTGTTGGGGCTTCACATATGTCTTGAATCATCCTGATGACTCAAGTCTATCTTGAGAGCCTAAACAGTGCTCCCGTGCAATATCAGCATTGTTTTCTCTAGACTTCACCCGAAATGTCCTAGAGGCAATTCATAGACAAATATTCAAAATCTAAAACTACTTCCTCTCTTCAAACCTATTCCCTCATGCTGAATGCAGTCTTTAAGTGCTATCATCCTAGGTGCCATTTAAGTGAAAGGCACCAATTCCTACTACATTCCGCCAGCCAGAAACTCAGGAGTCATCCCTTATATTCCAATCATCAAGTCCAGTGCATTTTACATAAAACAACTCCCCTCCATGCCCTCAATCACTGCCCTACATGCAGATATTCATCTTTGACCGGGTCTGCACCACCATCTTCCTGCGATCCACTATCCCTTGTGACTCCTCCAATTCATTATCTACTCTGCTTTTAAAGTAGGTTTTGTAATTCAGAAAATTTCATTTCTTTCCTCCAAATTCTTCACAGATCTCCATGATCATATGATAAAAATGAAAACCATCTGCTGAGCTTTAATGCCTTTGATGGCCTGGCCTCTCTCTCCTTGTTTAGCCTTTATCTCCTGGCACTTGCCTCCTCACATTTTATGTTCTAATACTACTAACAACTTGTATTATTCCCAAAACAGAACAGTGATGTAGTCTTTGCCATGTGCCTGGCACTGTACTAAGCATACAATACAGGGTACCTCACTTATCCTCATAATAACCCTTTCAAGTAGGTCCTATTTGTTCCCATTTGACAGATGAGAAGTCTGCTCTGGAGTGATGACAGGAACCTTACCAAAGTTACACAGTTATCATGAAACCAGAATTTTGACCCAAGAGTCTCTGACTCCAGAGCCTGGACTCTTAACCACCACACACACTGGACCTTGAACGATTCTCAAAATTCACATGTTTTCCCTCCCTACTGAATTTTGCAACCTCCTCTGTAAAGTTTTTTAACTCCCTCAGTCAGATTCTATTCTGCTATGCTCTTTTATACACAACACCATTACAGTAGTTACCTTATATTTTAATGATCTGTTGACTTGTCTTTCCACTAGACTGAAAACTCACTTATTGAAGTTTTTTCATCCTGAGAGGCCTGATTTCCACTACAACATTCACCGCTTAATGTTCATTCTTTGTTGAACGAATGAAAAATGTGAAACAGCATATGTGATAAGAACAATTCCCCTTTATTCCTAATTGGATGACCTTATATAAAATATACACATTTTAACTCACATGATACCAAGTGACCTGAATCCCAAATGGCTGTTAAAGCAGCCCTTGGGAAAATCCAGGAGAAATACCCTCACATTCATCATCAAGGTTTCAGCCCTACTTATCACTACCAATTATTTAATAATTTACATTGATCTGTTCATTTCTGTGAGGTCATCTCACAGTTTAAAAAGAACATTTCTTCTTAACACAGCTGGTTCTTATCATGATCATCCTCCCCACACCCAAGGTTTCTGATTAGGGGTCTGTGGTGGGTCCTGAGAATTTGCATTTCTAGGGCCAGGCACAGTGGCTCACGCCTGTAATCCCAGCACTTTGGGAGGCTGAGGGTAGTGGATCATTTGAGGCTAAGAGTTTGAGACCAGCCTGGCCAACACAGTGAAACCCCGTCTCTACTAAATCTATAAAAATCAGCTGGGTGTGGTTACACATGCCTGTAGTCCCAGCTAATTGGGAAGCAGACGCAGAATTGCTTGAACCTGGGAGGTGGAGGTTGCAGTGAGCTGAGATTGCACCACTGCATTCCAGCCTGGGCGACAGAGCAAGACTCTGTCTCAAATAAATAAATAAATAATTTGCATTTCTAATATGTTGATGCTGCAGCTCAACTGGAGTCCATACCTTTGAGGACCACTGTTCTATAGCACTAGACTAAAATTTGGGAAACCTGTGTCCTGAGGTCCCCCTTCTGCCGTAACTGGTGTGTCTCTATGACAGATCACTTGGATTTACTTGGGTCTCAGTTTTCTTTTTAAGAAATGGGGTATCTTTATGTTGCCTAGGCTGGTCTTGAACTCCTGATCTCAAACTCCTAGTCTCATGTGATCCTCCCACCTCAGCCTCCCAAAGGGGTAAGATTACAGGCATGAGCCACCACACTCAGCCAGGTCTGCTTTCTTATGTACACTGTGAAAAGGAAGAGTAAGAAGTACTGGACTACATGAGTCATAAGGACATTTTTTAAAACAACGAAATCTCACTTTCTCACCCAGGCTGGAGTGCAATGGTGTGATCTCGGCTCACTGCAACCTCCACCTCCCAGGTTCAAGCAATTCTCCTGCCTCAGCCTCCCAAGTAGCTGCAACTACAGGCACCAGCCACCACGCCCGGCTAATTTTTTGTATTTTTAATAGAGACGGGGTTTCACTATGTTGGCCAGGCTGGTCTTAAACTTCTGACCTCAGGTTATCCACCCGCCTCGGCCTCCCAAAGTGCTGGGATTACAGGCGTGAGCCATCACACCTGGCCCATAAGGATTTTCAATGACAATTTGCACTTCTGATGAATTGCCAGGTGATCCTGATACTGCTGGTCCAAGAGGCACACATTAAAAACCAAGGTACTAGTGCTATCCACATGACTATTCTATGCAATTCTACTCCTAGGTATATATAATCAAAAGAAAGAAATGCATGTGTTCACCAGAATACACACAAGAGTACTCTCAGAAGCTTTATTTATGCTAGCTAATAACTAGAAATAAACCAGATGTCCAATCAGAATAAACTGTGCTATACTTACATTCATACAACATATATTTATACAATTATGCAACGGAATACTACACAGCAATGCAAAAGAACTACTGCTTCACACAATATGGATGTATACTCATGTAATGATTAAAGCAAAAACAGACTGCCTACATTGAATAAAGCACCTACTATATGATTCTGTTTATGAGCCAATATCAAGCAAAACGAACTGATGGTGATGGAGGTGAAAACAGGAGTCAGCAGGACAGTAACAAGAATTGCTGGCTGGGAAGGAGCATGAAGGAACTTTATGAATGGAGACGCTCTATATCTTGATCTGGGTGGTGTACACATAGGTAAAAACTCATCAAACTGTAGACTTAAAATTTGTGTTATTTACACATATCATATATGCCTCAATAAAAAATTTGAAGCCAGGTGCAGTCACACCTGTACTCCCAGCACTTTGGGAGGCTGAGGCGGGCGGATCACCTGAGATCAGGAGTTTGAGACCAGCCTGGCCAACATGGCCAAACTCCATCTCTACTAAAAAGTACAAAAATTAGCCAGGTGTGGTGGTGTGCGCCTGTAATCCCAGCTACTTGGGAGGCTGAGGCAGGAGAATCACTTGAACCTGGGAGGCGGAGGGTGCAGTGAGCCGAGATTGTGCCATTGTACTCCAGCCTGGGCAACAGAGTGAGACCCTGTCTCAAAAATAATAATAATAAGTAAAATAAGATGGAAAGTGACAATGAAGTTCATTATATTAATATTCTTTAAAAGCAACTTTTTTTTTTTTTTTGAGACAGAGTCTCACTCTGTCACCCAGGCTGGAGTGCAGTGTCATGATCTCAGCTCACTGCAACCTCCGCTTCCCAGGTTCAAGCGATTCTCATGCCTCAGCCTCCCAAGTAGCTGCGATTTCAGGCACCTGCCACCATGGCCCAGCTAATTTTACAGACATGGGCCACTGCGCCCAGCCTAAAAGCAACTTTTATATAAACTGGATTTCCAAAGGAAGCACTAGGCCTAACATGACAATTAAGAAATGTAATTCAAAGTAATAGCTATCTAATATAAAAAATTATGGAGAAAAATTCTCACTGCTTCCTGTAACATTATCCCAAAACTGATCCCAGAAGCCTTATTGCTGGTATCTAAAGGTCTATATATTTAGATTCAAAAAACATACCTGGACCCTAAAAGGCCTTACAGGACCTGGCTCCTAGTTTCCTGTCCAACCTTATCTCCGAATCAAATGGGCTCTCTAACAAAAAGGGCCTTTTTGCTGCTCCATATACAGACCCACTTCATTCCTACTTCAGGGTCTCTGCACTGGCTCTTGGTCCTGCCTGGAATGTTCTTTCCCAGAGCTTCCAAGCTCATTCTCTTATTCCTTCAGGTCTCTGCTCAACTATCACCTTCACAGAGGCTCTAGTACCCTGTGGCACATTTCTTATAAAAGCCATAGCTAGAAAAGATGCTGTCTTGCCTGAAATTGTTAACCTTACTTACGTCAGATCATAACAACAAAACAGGGTTTCCTTTTTTTCTGTGCTTTAAAGCAAAAAGAAACAGAACAAAAACCAAAAAAGATCTCCTGTTAAAATTCTGTGACCCACAGCATCATTTATCTTTAGGCTCTTCTTTAACTCTTATTAACTCTTGCTCTTTTACATTCCTTTACAGCTTTATAGTTTGTCTTCACTACACACCTACGAGAAGTGATTTCTAGGTTAGCTGAGTATATAACTAAGACTAACCCATAGCAATCAGCGCCTTTGCACACAGCAACTCCTAAAAAATTTTTGATAAACAAATGAGTGAATAAAGAACTATGACAAGACATCTGGAAAGTTTCAGGGACGTGAGGGAGGTTTTTGTTCCAGTAGACTGACATCATACCGACACTTTTATATAAGAATGGCAACAATGATTATCAAACGAAAAAATTTTCATCGAGCCCAGAGTCCACTTTTCTCTTCTAGTCATAAACGCCATTAAAAAAAAAAAAAAAATCCTTTCAGCCCAACTACAGATGCCAACCATGCTCCCAATAAATAGAGGAGGTTTTTCTCAGAAGCTTCAGGAATGCAGGAGTCTGGAAGTGGAAAGGGCAAGACAAGAGGAGTCTCAGGTAACGCGGCTACCGGGAGACAGAGAAAGGAGACAGAGAATCTCAACACTGGGGCCGAGACGCAGCATCCCTAGAGCCTGGGTGCCAATCAGGCGGTGCTGGCAGGAGGCGGGTCAGCCGGGAGTGGAGGCAGCAGAAAAGGCTCTCTCACCTCTAACGCCGCCTGGGGGTCCCGGTCGATTAGAGCATCTGAGAAGCTCTGGAAAAATCTGCCAGAAAAACGACTCCAGCAGAGCCCACTGACCAAGGAAAGGGGGATAAAATAAATAGCAAAGGGAAGGAAAAACACGCACCTCTGGGATGCTGCAGGTCCTGCTGCAGCCACCGCCATCCCTCGTAGTCACTGTTGCTGCCGCCGGAGCCGCTCAGAAATTCCGCCACTGCCCAAGGAGGAAACTTCTGCAGAAACACCAACCGAGCTTCCGTCCTAAGTAGCCAACCAGCAGCCACGCAGCGTGCTGCTAGCGGGACGGGGAGGCGACCCGCGGGCGCGTGGCCGGCTGGGTCAGTGGAGGACCGAGTTCTCCCAGCCGGCACCCCGGCCCGGGACCCGCGCTCACAGTCCCCGCCCCCTCGCAGCTATGGTTACGGAGGCCGGGCCTACGGGTTCTCCCTCTTTTCCTCCGCGCCCACGCCCGCGGGCACTCCGACAGAGCCTCCAGGAGTAGTATCTCAGATGCACTTTTGTAACACACCGTTCTCTTTCAGGAACGTGTACGGGCAGGGGCGTTTGCTTGTCCGTTAATAACAGAAGCTACAGGCCGGGCGTCGTGGCTCACGCCTATAATCCCAGCACTTTGGGAGGCCGAGACGGGTGGATCACGAGGTCAGGAGTTCAAGATCAGCCTGGCCAAGATGCTGAAACCCTGTCTACTAAAAATATAAAAACTAGCCGGGCGTAGTGGCACGCGCCTGTAATCCCAGCTACTCGGGAGGCTGAGGCAAGAGAATCCCTTGAACCCGGGCAGCAGAGGTTGCAGTGGGTCAAGATTGTGCTACTGCACTCCTGCCTGGGCGACAGAGTGAGACTCCGTTTCAAAAATATAATAATAATAATAACACAAGCTACTTCAAGCTCCGTTTTCCCTAGATTTTATCACGGCTTTCGTCTCCGTGATGTCACTGGCGGCTGCGCGGTCTTTTCAGGGAACAGAGGGGCCTGGATGGCGCCTGGATTCCCGCGATCATTGCGCTGGGAATGGAAAGGGGCTGGGACTCGCTGGAAATCATTCTGACCTAATAGCCTCTGGTTCCGGGGAGACGCGCCCGGCGCCCGCGTGCTATTCATTCCCTTCCTCATAACTCCACAGCTCAGGATTTCTTCTTAGTGGGTTTCCCAGATCAAGAAGGAAAACCTTTTCTATCCGAAAGCACTGAGGGGCGGAAGGTGGTCTGAAGTGATCTCAGGACCGCTTTGTTTCCCACCCCAGTCGGTCAGGCCCTCCCTCAGCGCCCTTTGACCCATGCAGATCGGATGGGGAAAGGTGCTAGCGCGTTCCAGGGATGGGGGCAGATTGGGGAGCTGGAGGGAGTGGTCTTTATCTACCTTTATACCACTACCAAACTGTGTTAATTAATGTAGCTTTATAATAAGTCTCGAAGTCCTGTGACTTTATTCTCCCAAGATTGCTTTGGCTTATTCTAAGGCCATTGTATTTCTAGGTGAATTTTGGAATTAGTTTGTCAGTTTAAAAAAAAAAAAAACTGCTGGAATTTGTACTGGGCTTGCATTGGATCTATAGATCTGTTTGGGGATAACTAGTATATTAACAATATTAAGTCCTTCAGTTCATTTAAGAGGCTGTTTATTTAAGGGCCTCTAATTTCTCCTGGCAATGTTTTGTAGATTGTACACGTATTTATACTTTAATGCAGCTGTGCTTGGATAGATTGCAGTATAGAGATCACACATATCTTTCATTAGATTTCCTCTTGAGTAGTGTTTTGAATGCGATGTTAAATAGCATTTGTAAAATATTCCCATTTGTTGTAAGACTACAGGAACGCTATTGATTTTTACATACTGATGTTATATTCAAGCATCTTGCTAAGTTCCCCTATTATTTGTAATACTGTGTAGAGTCTTTTGGAATTTATGTGATCACAATCTTGGAATCTGTGAATAAAGGTGGTTTAACTTCTCTGTTATCTTTATACCTTTTAGTTTTGTTACTGGCTAGTATGTCCACTATTGAATAGAAATAGTGATAATGGACTTCCTTGTCTTGATTATAACATCAGGAGGAAAGCATTCAATATCAAGTGCTTTTTCTGCCTTTATTGAAATGTTCATACGTATTTTTTAATAATATGTTACTGTTATATAATAATAATTTAAAAATAATATTTTAAATAATGTTACAATGTAACCAATTACATTGGTTAATTTTCACATGTGATCTAAATGGCCAGTTGTCCTTCCGGATCCCCATTGATTCCAATTGCGATGGCACTATAGGAGAGGTGGAGCCCGCAAAGGAGATATAAGGTTTATTCAGGACTTACATACAGGGGTGGTCCAGTGGTGGTGGGCTGGCCAGGAGAACTGCTACTGTTCATAAAAAAGGCATGTAGTCTATACAGCATTTTCACTTAGCACCCTCCTTCTAGCAACATCCATTTAACCCAAAACAAAGGGCCCTGATCCACTGTACAGCCTGTGTTCCAAGAGATGGGGCACGGGTGTGGATGTCCCTCATAGATAAAGAGTGAATCTTAGTGTTGGCTACTCCTGGATTCCTTAGGCTAGGACTCCAAACACACTTAGAATAGGGTTATTTTCAGGTATGCTCCAGTTATGGCTCAGCCATACACCAAGGTGTGTATACCAGCCCCTGCCATGCATCAATATGCATATAAATATGAATAGTCTCTGAAAGGGCGAATTCCAAGATTGACCTATAGGCCCAATGTGAAAAGTTCTATATTAATAGCTATGTCATGGCCGGGTGCGGTGGCTCACGCCTGTAATCCCAGCATTTTGGGAGGTTGAGGTAGGTGGATCCCTTGAGGCCCGGAGTTGGAGACCAGCCTGGGCAACATGACAAAACCCCATCTCTACTAAAAACACAAAAATTAACTGGGCAGCTGTGGTGAGCACCTGTAATCCCAGCTACTAGGGAGTCTGAGGCACAAAATCGCTCTAACCTGGGAGGCGGAAGTTGCAGTGAGCAAGATGGCACCACTGCACTCCAACCTGGGCAACAGAGTCAGACTCTGTCTCAAAAAAAAATATATATATATATAGCTGTATCATGGACATTGAAATTATAACAAGATTCCAAAACTACCACCAGAATGACTTAAATTAAAAGGACTTCCAATACCAAGCATTGACAAGCAACTATATGTTTCACCCATTGTTGGTGAGCGTTTAAATTGGTTAATCATTTTGGAAAACTGTGTGTCACTGTATTCGTCTGTTCTTGCATTGCTATAAAGAAATACCTGAGACTAGGTAATTTGTAAAGAAAAAAATGTTTAATTGGCTCGTGCTTCTGCAGACTGCACAAGAAGCATAGCAGCTTCTGCTTTCGGGGAGGCCTCAGGAAGCTTCCGATCATAGCAGAAGGCAAAGGTAGAGATGGCATCTTACGCGGCAGGAGCAAGAGCAAGTAGGGTGGGAGGAGGTGCCACACACTTTTAAACAACCAGATCTCCCAAGAACTCACTCACTGTTGCAAAGACAGTATTAAGGGGGATGGTACTTAATCATTCATAAGAAACCCACTCCCATGATCCAATTACCTCCCATCAGGCCCAACCTCCAACGTTCGGGATTTTAATTTGACATGAGGTTTGGGTGAGGACACATACCCAAACTATATCAGACACTATCTACTAAAGCTAGTTATACACAAACCATACTACCCAATAATTCTATCACTGGGCATATACCCGAGTATTTATGATCATATACAAGAATATTCATCGCAGCATTATCCACAGTAGCAAAAACTGGAAATAATCGAAATGTCCTCAAATTGGATAAAAAAATTACATAGCAATGAATAAGAATGTACTACTACTATACACAACAATATGGATGCATCTTATATACATAAGTTGAGGTAAAGAGGCCAGAGTACATCATGATTCATTCCATTTATATGAAGATAAAAAACTGTAGTGAGAGGAATCATAAGGGAATCTCCTGGTTGTCAGGGAGGGTGGGGAGCACGGGCATGAAGAAACCTTCTTGGATGCAGGAAATGTTACATATCTTGATCTGGCTGGTAATCACAGAAGTGTATTGAGACATAAAATTTTATCAAGTTATACACAAGATTTGTGCAGCCTGGGTGCAGTAGCTCATGCCTGTAATCTCAGCACTTTGGGAGGCCAAGGCAGAAAAATTGAGCCCAGGAGTTCAAGACCAGCCTGGGCGAGATAGGGAGAACTTGTCTGTACAAAAAATAAATAGAAAGCATTAGCCAAGCACGGTGGCGTGTGCCTCAGCTATTTGGGAGGCTGAGGCAGGAGGATCGCTTGAGCCCAGGAGGTTGAGGCTATGATCGTGCCACTGCACTCCAGCCTGGGCAACAGTGCGAGCCTCTTTCTCTTTAAAAAAACAACAGCAGCAACAACAGCAACAACAACAACAACAAAAATTGTTCACTTTATTTTGATTTTGCAGACTAGTTTGGGGAGAAATGATATTTTTCCCTTGTATTGCCTTTTCCTGTCCATGAATACAATTGCTTGCTTCATTCATTCAGTTTCTCATATCTTTTAGTAAACTTTTATAATTTTCTCCATAAATTCTTGGCATCCGTTTATTGAAACCTTGGGAGGAAGGAGAGACAAATACTTAAGAAGTCATTGATGAAATATGTTTTCATATGCAAATGACACAACTAAATATGCCAATGTACTTCGCTTGGGTAATTTAAAGAAGGTGATGAATAACCATGCTGGATTAGGGGACATTTCTTGAAGGATAATTGGTCTTCAACTCGAAGAGTGAAAATATTTAGTCACTTATACTGTGTTACCTAACATCTACCTAACATCTATGAGAGGGATTATTTTCATTCATTTGAAAGAGAAAATCTTCCCAATCTAATGTTGAGGCCGTCCTTAAGTAAGTGTATTACACTTGATAATTTCCTTTCGAACTGAATCTAACAAGAATATCTTATTTGTATCTTTTTCACAATAAAGCTTTCCCAAAGAAAGGTTTATGAATATGTGCACTTTACAAAGTTATATATATGGATTTGTGCACTTTACAAAGTTATACTTTAATAAAATAGAAAAAAGATTTAAAGCAAAATCACTAATAATCAAAAATTAAAATGTAAAAAGCCATGACATTTACAGTAACATAAAAAATATTAAATACTGAAAAGTAAACCTGACAAGACATATGCAAGACATGTGCACTGGAAACTATAAATCATTGCTGAAAGGAATGAAAGAAGACTTGGGAGGCCGAGACGGGCGAATCATCTGAGGTCGGAAGTTCAAGACCAGCCTGACGAACATGGAGAAACCATGTCTCTACTAAAAATACAAAATTAGTCGGGCGTGGTGGCACATGCCTGTAATCCCAGCTATGCAGGAGGCTGAAGCAGGAGAATCACTTGAACCCGGTAGGCAGTGGTTGCGGTGAGCAGAAATGTCCATTCGCACTCCAGCCTGGGCAACAAGAGTGGAACTCCATCTCAAAAAAGAAAAAAAAAGAAGAAGAAAGAAAGAAATGACCGGCGCGGTGGGCTCATTGCCCGTAATGGCGCAGCCTTTGGGGCAAGGAGGGAGGATCCTGAGGTCAGGAGATCGAGGCCTATCCTGGCAACACGGTGAAACTCTGGTCTCTACTAAAAAAAAAA